AAGTCATGCGGGGGGAAGCCATTGTAATCCATAAGCTGTACTTTCGAAATTTATATTCATTAAATAAAAGTTAAAAAAAAAGAAAGACAAAAAAATTTTTTGTAGCTATTGTGAAAGGGGCTGATCTTACAAGTTCTCAGCCATGGCATCGTTTGTGTGCACAAAGGCTGCTGATTTTTTTATTTGTTGATTTTTATATCATGCAACTTTGCCAAATTCTCTTATGAGTCTCAATAATCTCTTAGTGGAGTCCTGGTTCCATTATGTATAGGATCTATATCATCTGCAGACAGGGATAATTTGCCTTCCTCTTCCTCCATTTGTATCTCTTTGATTTTTTTTGTCTAATAGCTCTGGCTAAAACTTCCAGACGTACATTGAATAGAAATGGTGAGAGTGCGCATACGTGACTGTTTCCAGGTCTCAGTGGGAATGCGTCCAGCTTTTTCCCATTCAGTATGATGCTGTGTAGGGGTGGTCATATACTGCTTTGATTGTCACTTCTGGTTCTTCATAAAATACATCTATAATATAACATATTATAATATAATACAGTATGTGATTGTGATCCACAATCACCCAACTGTGCCATGGAACACTAGAACTTTTTCTGTCTATCCAACTGGAAAATGAACCACTCCCTTGAATTTGACTGGGCTGAACTACTTTTTACCTTTGTTAAGTGTCACTCAGCTAAATCATATAATGAGTATTATTTTCTGGCTGCCTTACTTAACTAAATCATATGTTTGTGAGTCTGTATGTTTTAAAGAAAAAATACATGTTTCCAAAAATGCCATCATATAGATTCAGCTTTTATCTCTTTGGTAAAAGTATGTCACATTGGGCTGGCACTGTGGCATAGCAAGCTAAGTCACCTCTTTGGACTCTGGCATATCCTATTGTATTGCCAGCTGCCCCATTTCATATGTAATTCTCTGCTAATGCATCCACAAGTAAGTGGATCATGGCTCAAGTGTTGAGTCCCTGCCATTCATGTTAGAGACCCACATGAAGTTCCTGGCTCCTGGTTGCAGCCTGGCTCAGCCTTGACTGCTGCAGACATTTGAGGAGTTAAGGAGCAGATGGAAGATCACTTTGTTTCTGTCTGCCCATCCCTGTCACTCTGATTTTTGAATAAAGAAGTCTTTAAAAATGTGCACTGTACTATGAGAATTAACTGCAAAACTTATTCTCAAACAGCTTTTTATATTTCGTATGCGTGTGTGCAAATTGTTGAAATCCTTCCTTAGTGTAGAGTTGATATTCTGTGTATAAAGTTAATTTAAAACTAATCTTAATGGAGAATGGAATGGGAGAGGGAGGAGGTGGTGGGAAGGCATGGATTGGGGGAAGAACCACTGTATTCCTAAAGTTGTACTTACGAAATTTATACTCATTAAATAAAAGGTTTCTTTGAAAAAATGTGCACTGTGTGATGTTTTGGGTTATGGCCTGTGGAAGAAGTTTACTTATTAATCCTCAGAGTCTGTGAATGTGTAGCCTACTCTGTAACAAAGTAAACACTAAGGCCCTCCAACATGGAAGAGGAAAGTGGTGAAATTTGTAGCAGAGTCACACCATGGGAGGAAGACCCAATCTAGCCTTTCTGCTTGTGACGATGGCAGCGATACCACAAGTCAAGGAATGTGGCAAGGAATGTGGAAGGCAAGTGAATAGATTTTTCCTTACTTCAATCTAAGAAGACACAGAATTGCAGATGCTTCCACTTTAAACCCAAGGAAACACATGCCGAACTGAAAGATGTCAAATTTGTGTTGTCTGAAGTCACAAATGTGTGAAAGTTGTTTTTTGGGCCCCTAATACAGTAACAGATTCCCATAGGAAGCATTCGAGAGTTAGGTTCTGTAGGAGATAGTGTCCACCCAGACAAGTCAGTGCTCTGCTCTGCAGTGAAGGGAAAACCCAGGGATGGGAATTGCAAAGAAAATGTAGCCTTGCTTCCCACAAAGGACAGCTGGGGAAGACAATTGGGTAGAGAATAATGAAAATAGGGGACAATGGGAAAGATAAGATAGGTTATGGGAATATGGATCAAGAGGAAAGGTTGATGGGAGAGGGAGTAGGAGGTGGGACAGTTTGGGGGTGGGAGGGCAGGCATGGGGGGAAGAACTGCTATAATCCAAAAGTTGTACTTATGAAATTTATATTTATTAAATAAAAGCTTCTATAAAATTTTTAAAAAATTAAAATGTGTCACAATTCCACGTTTACAAAACATTGTGCAGTTGGCAGTTCTACCCAGACATATATGAGTGAAGCAAAGCAGTTACCAAATCCAATGAAAGAATAGGTTATTACATTAGAGCCTTGAAAGTCCAGGAGGAAAGAATGACTTTGAAGTAAATGCTATCTGGGTAATTATTATTGATGGCAAAGTAAGGTCAGATTCTTGTCTTAAACAAGTTATTATCATCAATTGACTTAGGAGGAAGGATCTAGGAAGATCTCAGTCTTTATAAGAGGAGAGGGGAGTGACAAGGTAGAATAAAACACCCCTTTTATTGGGCCCCAGTGAGACCTTAATGTGAACAAGTACCCACACTTGAAAATATCTTCACAAGAGGAAGGAAACTGGACAAGAAATCACAGTGACCAGTAGGAGCTCAATAATAATGGGACACACTGCTGAGGATAGGATGAACAATTTTTATTATTTTTAAAGCAGATTATTATTATTTTGAGAGAGAGGGAGGGAGGGAGAGAGAATATAAATGAGAATGAGAATGTGAATATATATTCTCGTTCACTGGTTCAATCCCCAACTTTCCACAATGGCCAGGAATGGGCAAGCCCAACTCAGGAGCCAGGAACACAGTCCAGTTCTCCTCCATGGGTGGAATGGAGCCAAGTTCTTGAGCCATCATCACTGCCTCCCAAAGTGCTCACTGTCAGGAAGCTGAATTGGGAGCAGAGGCAGTGTCCAGACCTAGCTGTTCTGATGTGGGATGCAGGCGTCCTGAGTGTTTTCTCAGTGCTATGCTAAGCACTTGTCCTCATTTACACGTTTAAATCAAATTTTGATTTGGGGGATTACTTGCAGGTGAACATGCATTTGTAAGAAACAACACAGGGAGATACATGTAACCTTAACTCAGTTTCCCCAATGGTAACTTCTTGCAAAATTGCAGTAAAATACCACACCCAGCATATTAGGAGTTAAAACAACAAATTAAAAACAGGTGCATAAGTCTAGTACCTGCTAACACTAACCGATAGAATAAATAAAGGGGAGAGTGATCCAACATGGGAAGTGAGATACTCAGCAGACTCATAGAATGGCAGATGTCCTAAATAGCACTCTGGCCTCAGAATCAGCCCTAAAGGCATTCGGATCTGGCTGAAAAGCCCATGAGAGTATTTCAGGCATGGAAAGCCAAGACACTCTGGCAAAAGATCTCTGTGAGTGAGATCCCAGTGGAAAGAACAGGTCTTCAAAGAAGGAGGTACCTTTCTCTGAAGGGAGGAGAGAACCTCCACTTTGACTATGACCTTGTCTAAACAAGATAAGAGTCGGAGAACTCAGAGGGCTTCCATAGCCTTGGAAACTCATGACTGGAGCATAGGGAGATTACTGATGCCATAGACAGGAGTGTCAATTGGTAAAGTCAACAACAGGAGTCACTGTGCACTTACTTCTCATGTAGGATCTCTGTCCTTAATGTGCTGTGCATTGAGATTTAATGCTATAACGAGTACTCAAACAATATATTTCACTTTGTGTTTCTATGGGGGTGCAAACTGTTGAAATCTTTACTTAATGCATACTAAACTGATCTTCTGTAAAAAAAAAAAGAAATTATCAATTCCCAACTTGACTCTCACTGGGATTAAATATGACAATAGGTCTGATCTGATTTCATCATCATTTAAAAAAAATCATCTATTATTTTTCACTTTATGTTTCTGTATGGGAGCAAACTGTTGAAATCCTTACTTAATGTATACTAAGCTGATCTTCTGTATATTAAGATAATCGAAAATGAATGTTGATGTGAATGGAAGGGGAGAGGGAGTGGGAAAGGGGAGGGTTGTGGGTGGGAGGGACGGTATGGGGGGGAAGCCATTGTAATCCATAATTCGTACTTTGGAAATTTATATTCATTAAATAAAAGTTAAAAAAAGAATTTATAGGTAATTTGGATTTAATTTTTAAAATATTTAAGAATAAACATTTTGTGTTTAGAAAAAAAAAACAGGTGCATCAACATCAGCTCCCTCATGTAGACCTTTTGCATCTGCTGCCTTCCCCTTGGTACTGCAACTGACCCCCCAGGGATAGGTCAGCTCTTTACCATTCATGTTTAAAATGTCATATACAATATAAACATTGTTACAAAAGAAAAATGGGGAAGTAGTTATCTGTGGATGTCAGTGGTAGACTCTTCTTGGAGCTGAAATAGAAACTGGATCCTACATATGGGGACAGTCTCCAATGAGAAGTTAGAGAACACACAAATGTGCTAAAATCTGGAAAAGACATTAAAGTACTGACAATAGACAGGAATGATGGACAGAAAACAGAAAACCAGTGGTTTCAGGATTTTCCTAACTACAAAGTAGGCAAACTTAGCTGCCATGGATAGTCTATCTGTAGGAGTAGTTAAACATGTGACTTTCTTTTTCAGTTAAAAGAAACACTACTCAGGACAACATGTGTCAGGTAGGAAAACTATTCCTAAGATATCCTTACTGTCCCACAGAACAAATGGGAATTTCCAAATTTTTCAGAACATATTTGGAGTAGTTTTGGGAAAGTTGGAAAATAGGAGACTCACAGACTGTGGGCCACTGAGAACAGAAAGCTCAGTGAGTGGGTTTCTTACAATGTGCAGTAATTGAAATCCATGGAAAGGAAACTCCAGCAAATAAGCAAGATAAAATACTTTCACAAGCAGATCCATCGGTAATAAGTTCTGCCTCTGAGGTTTGAGCTTGGCGATTGTCAACAATTTTTCATTCCTAAGACAATTTCCCATTTATGGTTTCTCTCCCAAAGATCTTTTCAGGGCCCTCTTTATGTCTTTATTCCTCAGGCTGTAGATGAAAGGGTTCAGCATGGGGGTGACCACGGTGTACATCACCGAGGCGATCGCAGTTGAGTGTGAATCTTGGGTAACAGCAGAGCTAAGGTAAACTCCCAGTCCAGTACAATAAAATAAAGAGACAATGCAGAGGTGAGAGGCACAGGTGGAAAATGCTTTATATTTCCCTTGAGATGACGAAATTGCACAGACAGAGGAGACAATCCTGGAGTAGGAGTAAAGGATCCCAGCCAGTGGACCTCCAACCAGCAGCACAGATGCAAAATACAAAATGAGATCATTAAGGAAGGTGTCAGAACAGGCGCTGTGGATCACCTGGTTCAGTTCACAGAAGAAGTGGGGGATTTCCAGACATGTGCAGAAGGACAGCCGCAGCACCATTAAACTTTGCAACAAGGTATGCAGGACACTGATGACCCAGGACACCAGGACCAGCTGCATACAGAGCTGGGGGTTCATGATGACCAAGTAGTGCAGGGGGTGACAGATGGCCACAAACCTGTCATAGGCCATCACAACCAGAAGGAAGTTGTCCAGCCCAATAAACAGTAAGAAGAAGAACATCTGGGTGATGCAGCCTGCATAGCTGATGGCTTGGCTCTGTGTCTGGATGTTCACCAGCATCTTGGGGACAATGGTGGATGTGAGACAGATATCATAGGAGGACAGGTTGGAGAGGAAGAAGTACATGGGCGTGTGGAGGTGGTTGTCTGAGAGGATGGCCAGGACGATGAGCAGGTTCCCAGCCACAGTGACCAGGTACATGGAGAGGAAGAGCCCAAATATGAGGGGCTGCAGTGCTGGGTCCTCTGAGAATCCGAAGAGTAGGAATTCTAAAATTTGTGTATCATTCCCTGGCTCCATTGGTTGAGGAATGCAGGAAGGAAAGAGATGCCATGATTACTTTTCACACAAAAATTATTGCTCACTTAGATTTAATGGTACTATTTGTATTTTGCAGGCCAAAAATTGATTTCCATATTTTGTGTGTGGATCTAGTGCCATTTGGGGATTCTTGTACAGAGTAATGTTTCCTTTCCACTTAGAGTTGTCAGCAACATTCTTGTACATATCCTACTCATTTTAATAAGAATTTTTGTTGCACTTGAGCAATGTAAATTGACTTCTGAGCATGTTCCAACTACTGTCCAACCAACAAACATATGCTGCAAAACAAAATTCCCTGCTTCCCAGTGATGCAGAAGGATTACCAGCCAACAAATAAATGCTATGAAAGGAAAGTCAGGCAGAAGAAGCTTGGTGGAGAATGTGATTGTCTAGCAGGTGTCTAGATCAGATGAGAGAAGGAGCCATGACTCTCAGACAGAGTGCCACAGGGGATCTGTAGAATGATGGGCTTGTAGGGAGTCAGCCAGTGCGAAGGCCCTGGGGCCCATGTGATTACCTAACTTCAAGACTCCAAAGGACTCAACTGTGGCCATGACAATGAGCAAGAGGGAGAGGTTTTCAACCCGCTAGTTCAATTCCCAAATGGTCACAATAGCCAGAGCTGAGCCAATGGGAAGCCAGGAGCCTGGGGCTTCTTCTGGGTTTCCCACATGGGTGCAGCGTCCCAGGGACTTGGACCATCTTCTACTGCTTTCCCAGGCACATTAATAGAGAGCTGGATCAGAAGTGGAGCACCCGGGACTTGAACTTCCTCCTTTATGGGATGCTGGCACTGCCGGCAGCAGCTTTACCCGCTTCACCATGGCACCAACCCCATACATTCTTCTTTTTAAGGGCCTCCAGTGATGTGAAATAAATTCCTTCTAAATGCCATGTGTTGGTTAAGTTGTATTCTCACTGTTTTAAGTGTCACCTGGGATAAATGAACCTTGGAATATAGAACTCTGGCACCCCAGCTGTGAACACTGCTGTCCTATCACAAAGATACACACATACATACACACACACAACAAGCACACACAGAGACAAACATGCTGACACCATAGCCTGCTACGGCTGCATTGCCACCATTTCCTTCTTGTCTCTGGCTACAGTGATAGGGCTACATGTGGAAGTGACCCATGCTGGTCAAATCAGGTTCTCTTTACTGTAAAGTAAATATAAACACCACCCAGAAGTTCCAGTGTGGAAGTCTCCCATGAGAAAATACAAGTGGGGCACTATTGTGATATGACTCTTCTCTCCCTTTTAAAAATTGATTAATTTTTTGTATTTGAAAGACAGAATTTTCTAATCAAGTGTTACATTCCCCCCATATGCCTGCAACAGCCGAGGCTGGACCAGTCTGAAGACAAGAGCTGGGAACTCTCTCTAGTCTCCCATTGGATGGTAGCGACCCAAGTATTAGAGCTGTCTCTGCTGTCACCCAGGGTGTGGATTAGCAGGGAGGTAGAGCTGGAGCTCCCAACTCAGTCACTCAGAACAGGGGCCATGGGCAGTCCAAGTGCTGAGCCAGTCACCATCCATCCTCCTTCACTTGAAGATCCAAAGGAAACTCTTTTCAATCAATAGAGTGGGGAGGAAGCAGACATTGGAGGGCAAGACGTCATCATGTACGATGGTTATGGAGACACTAAGGAAGGGCGAGCTCCTCTGGTCTTGCTACCTGGTGACCTCCTGTGTGCACCTGCAGAGTTAACAGCAGAGCAACAGTCTCTTCCATTCTCTTCCATGGACACAGGTGGTGGTGGTGGTGCTATTTTGTTTTTGTTTTTGTTTGTTTGTTTGATTTTGCTTTGAAGACATTTTTCAGGTTGAAATCTCAAGCATGTAAATAAGCAAAGGAAAGAAGCCAGCCACTTGTGAGAGGGGTGTCCTTCAGTGATTTTGTGGAAAGTTTAATTGAAACATAAGTTTGTTTTGGTGCAGATTTTGAAATTCATGCGTAGTTTATTCACAGTGCACATTTTCCATGAGCTCTTGAAGCCTCCCTCACAGGCCCGAATTCCATTTTTTCCATCAAAAATAAACTTCCTTGCAATTCGTCTCCCATGAAATTTCCCCATATGGAAATTTAGCATATGACAAGGTCAGACTTGTGTAGTTGGAACAGACCAGATTGTTGAATGACAATTGACATAAATGACTGACTGGAAGCAAATGAGGTTGGAGCTCTCTGGCATGCTCTTACAGAGAATCAGAGGGATAAACATTAATGTAAGAAGGAACAAAACACTTGAGATGAACATCTAGAATCTCTTTGTCTACAGTTGACAAAAACATCTGAATGAAGGCAAGAAACACAGAAATACGAAGAGAAGCCTGGGGCCAGCGCTCTGGCACAGTGGGCTCAGCCTCCACCTGCAGCACCAGAATCCATATGGGTGCCGGTTCGAGTCCCGGCTGCTCCACTTCTGATCCAGCTATGGCCTGGGAAAGCAGTAGAAGATGGCCCAAGTCCTTAAGTCCCTGCACCCACATGGGAGACCTGGAAGAAACTTGTCTCCTGGCTTCGAATCAGCACAGCACCGGTCATTGCAGCCAACTGGGTAGTGAACTAGCAAGTGGAAGACCTCTCTCTGTCTCTCTCTACCTCTGCCTCTCTCTGTAACTCTACCTCTCAAATAAATAAATAAATAAAATATTTTAAAAAAGAGGAGGCATTTTAGCTAAATAATATTTACACCTTTTAATGGCTGCAAAATTCCCTTCAACGTGAACTGGAAAATAATAATCACAGCACATCTAACATGCCTGCAACTATAGAAAATATGCTTATAGTGTCTGGGCATACAATTATAACAGGCAAATCAGTATGTGGCAAATTATGCAAATCTTTGATCAAACCCTGTAATACTTCTAGAAAATCACAGGAAATCCCTTCCTGCCCCTTAGGGGACAAACCTGAAGGAGATTCACACTAACCGGGGTGGACATTGTCAACAGTGAGCAAAGTCAGACTGTTTCATTTTTTTCTGGCAGCCGTGTTGGTGTCATTGTCTTTGGGAAACAAGCTGAAGATGGAAATACTAAAATTACAGGTGGGCATTTGGCTGGCAGCTAAGATGCCATTTGGGATGGCTGCCTCCCATATTTAGTGCCTTGGTTTGAGTCCCAGCTCCCCTTCTGGTTTTAGATTCAAAAAGAGTAGATATGAGTTTTTGGTGCTGCATTTAAGATGCTACTTGGGACACCTGTGTCCCAGGTCAGACTCCCTGGGTTCCAGCCCTAGCCCTGCTCCTGATTCTGGCTTCCTACTGATGCACCCTCTGACAGATCCTGGTCACAGCTCAATTAGTTGGGTTTCCTGTCTCCCACAGAGAAGACCTACATTGAATTCTGGCTTTCTGAGTTCTTGGCCTGGCCCAGCCCCAACTGTTTCAGGCATTTGTGGAGTAAGCCAATGGAAGATAGATCTCTCCTTATGTCTTTGTCTATAACTCTTTGTTTCTCTGCCTTTCATATAAAATAAAATAACTTTTGAAAAAGATTTATTTATTTATTTGAAAGAGTTACAGAGAGAAATGTCTTCCATCTGCTGTCTCACTCTCCAAATGGCTGCAATGGCTGGAGCTGGGATGATCCAAATCCAGGAGCTTGGAGCTTCCTCCAGGTCTCCACAGTTGGACCATCTTCCGCTGCTTTCCCAAGGTATTGCAGAGAGCTGGGTCAGAAGTGGAGAAGCTGGGACTTGAACTGGTGCCCACATGGGATGCCGCAACAGCAGGTGGTGGCCTTACCTGCTACGCCACTGCATTAAACCCTGAAATAACTAAAAAGTAAAAAAAGAAATGCCTTTACTTGCCTATCTCATTTGTCCCCATCTACCACCCTATATATATTTTTTTATGGAAAATGAGACTGTAAGTTTATTGAGGGGTAAAAATATTTTGAAATTCATGTACACATGAGGTCTTTAAGAAGTTCTTGAAAGATGTATATCATGAAAAACATACGGATTTTAAATTTTTTGCACCAAAATAAACTTAGGTTTTAAATTCATTTCTCCACAAAGTTTTTGAAGTATCCTCATACGTAGCTTGACCTTTCATAATATTAAACCTCCTTATTTGGTAGATAAGTAAGCAAAGGACTCCAAGGCAGCCAACTTAACCAAAGTACCTCAAAGCCTTATTTTATCAGTCTAGAACTGTATTGATAACTCACCAGCTGGTATTCACAGGGAGTATCTTTCGTTCTGTTTTAAAGCATATTATAAGGAATCCAAACAAAAAATCATGTTGGGAAATCAAATATAAGCTTATTCTTTTCACTTAAGAGTTTTTGTTTCTTTCATTTGTCTTTATATGTTGTTTGAGGGAGAGATGGATAAACACAAAGATAGTTCCCATCTGCTGGTTTATTCCTCCAGATGACCACAATGGCCAGTGCTGACTGGAGCCAAAGCCAGGAGCTTGGAACTCAAACCAGGTCTCCCATGTGAGTGGCAAACACCCAATTACTTAAGATATTATCACTGCCTCCCAGGATCTGCATTTTCAAGAAGTTGGAGCCAGTAGCCACAGCTGGGTAATCTGCAGTGGGACCCAGCTTCTTAACCATTAATCCACTCACCCATCATTCAATTTCATAATGAAGTTAAGGGAAAATTAAAGTCCAACTGCACCTGTTTCACTGTAGTTCTGTAGAACTGTAGTTCCAAAATTTAAAATTCACAAGACCAATCGTATAGTGGATGCACTGTGGCAGGATTACACTATAGAGTATCACCATATATCTATCACAATCAGGGGAAAGAGTTTGGCTTAGCAGTTGAAATACTGGTTTGGGGTGCCATATCAAAGGACCTGAGTTTCAGTCCCAGCTCCACTCCTGATTCCAGTTTCCTCTTAACGCAGAGCCTGGGAGACAGCAATGACTACTGAAATAATCAAGTTCCTGTGATCCACCTGGGGTGAGACCCGGAGTGAGTTCACAGCTCCTAGCTTTGGTCC